TTATTTTGGAGTCAAGGTTTTGTAGAGATTTAAGGGTGGTTACCTAGTTTTGCCAAAATCAACTTTTTCGGTTCGAGATTGAAGTTAAACCGCTTATCTCGCTCCATTGGATGTGGTGACTCGGTGTGGGGTATAAAAAGCCCGGTTAAGGTAATCTCCAGCATCTTTTCTTTTAATTGTTTGTTCTTTTATTTTATATTCTCAAACACAGTATTAGGTTGTATGAATGGCATTAAGTAGTTGAGATTTATTTTATTGATGTGTTATTTAATTTTTGGAATTTCTATTGTTTGTAAAAAGACCATCTGTGAGTGATCTTATTGCCAAAATTATAAGGGGTAATTATTATTTAAAAAAAAAAATTATATTTCCCTAGCAAAAGATTACATAGGTCTTTCTCTCATAGACACCCTGATCCCAATCGCATAAACCATGGGAGATTGAAATTCCCCGAGCAAGCCAATCACACCCAACCATTATCAACCATGAACCATACCCTATGAATCCAAAGCGCCTGACAGAGCTTGAAGTACAAAAGAATGCCCCCTGAAAAATGAACAAGACAGATCAGAACCAAGAACTACAATATGTAAGCAATCAGGAAGTATAACGTGTTGGCTCCATTCTAAATTCCGACATAAGGACAACTAGTAATTAGGAAGCAGAAAGTTCAAGCACCATTGGCAAACGTGTTGGCACCATTCCAAATTCCGACAGACGAACAGTTGGCCGCGTCAGTTAAGCTATGCCCCATCTGTTAAGCTATCCCATGTCGGTTAAGCTATGCCCCATCAATTAAGCTATGCCATGTCGATTATGCGATACCTTAAGCTATCCCAAAAGTCCAAATAATCAAAAGTCAAAATTGGAATAGGGTACAGGAGTAGTGACTATGATCAAAGAGCTGGATTAACAGAAAATCATTGAACCTTATCACCGTCGTGAGCATTTGCTTAGAAGTCAAGTTACGGCTAGGTAACCTTGCTTTGATACCATTTGTTGAGCTCACCCAATTAGAACCCGAATGTGGATGCACGCAACATAATGCAAATGTATCGGATACAAAAAAAATTATGCCAAAATCGATGTGTGTGTATGAGTGAGAAATCATACAAATAAAGCGAATAAAAAATAAAACTTACTAGTACTGATATTTACGTGGTTTATCTTTTCAAGCTACGTCAATGGGAGAAAGAGATCAAATCCACTATTAACTCAAAGATTCTAATGGTCTTCCAGAAACAAGTTTTCTTGGGCTCTCTACTTTCTTGTAGAGACTTTCTCTCTAGGTTTTCTATCTCGAGGTTCTTCTCTTTCTCTTAAAGACTTTCTCTCTCTCTAAAAGAAAAATGTTCTCTCTTTGTCTCTTACGCTTTTCTCTAGAAGAATGATAACTTTATCTCTTCTGAATGATAACTTTATCTTTTCTTTTTCTCTGCAAAAGAAGACCGCATGTATGTTTTCTAATACACCAAAAATAATCAGCACACATACCTATCCCACGTTTTTCTCTTTTTATAAATCCATATTGGGAAAGTAATGTTTTCTAATACACCAAAAACAATCAACACACATAGCCATCCCACGTTTTCCTCTTTTTATAAATCCATATTGGGAAAGTATGTTAAGTGTGATGAATCCATATTGGGAAAGTATGTTGAGTGTGATAAATCCAATGGATAAATCTCTTTTTTTATGTTAAGTGTGATGATTTTTTTTAACATATAATTGCAGGAGCAAGGAAAATGAGTGGATAGAAGAAATTCATAATTAAGAGTCAAATACAATCATTTCATCACAATGAATGATATATTTGAAATCTGTTTTTTTCGTTTCTTTGGGATGGATACTAAATGTCAATTTCGATAATTCTATATGTTTCCATCATGTCTACAAGTGAATTTTGCAGGACATTGTTACCTAATGCACTTAATGTAAAAATGAGGGAGATTTGTCTTTCTAGTGGGTTATCTGATATTTGAACTAGTAACATATGTTGTTTAAAATGAATAAATAAATAAATATAATAAAGAGATACTGATCTTAGTTGAGGACGTAGTGCTCCTCAACGAATTTCAATACCACGTTTTTCTCTTTTGAGTTTTTTTCCCTCTGTGGATAATTCTTGGGACATATGGTTAGCGCCTCAACGAATCAAGCCCAAGTAAATAATTTTTTTTATGGGGACTTTTGGAGCATAATTAGCCAGTTGGAAAATAATAATATATCAGCAAACTAAAACATAATAATTTTTTTTAAAAAAAAAAAAAGCAAACTAAAATATCAGTAATAAATTGACTTTGTTCCAAAAAAAGTAAACTATACAGGTGCCAAAAATTAATATTTCATATATGACTCAAAAAGACAATGAAAAAATTGGATATATAATATGACATGATAATATTATGATGTGTAGTTGTTCCATGGATAAATTAAAGCTATTGAATAATAATTTTACCTCTTTACTTACAATCATAAGGGTAATATTAAACAAAATTTTGTCTAAATTTTCACGTAGTACAATAACCTCCATTATCATGACACAGAACATATGATAGATCCATTATGAGCATATAATGAAACAACAATACTAAGCACAAGAACTAAATTAGCAAATAACAAGAACTGCAACTCAAGGTATAAGATAATTGTTAGAAGAAAAAATACAAAAGACCCTTAGTATAAGATTGCAATAAACTAAACTAAAAAAATCTTAAAATGTAAAGAATAATGATCCTACGAGACCCTCTCCTACCCAAGTGTATGAGACCCGAACTCATGACCGTAGAATCCACATCCACATCTCGAGAAAATGGGATGACATAAATCACCCGATTAACCCACAAAGAGAAGCTTTCTCTTGGAGGAGGTACATACCCTTTTTACCAGATAAGATATAAACCATTTCCCTTCTAAACCTCCTCTACTTTCCATCCCTTTTCTATCTACATCCCCTTGAATCTCTCGCTCTCTCTATCGATAGAGACCCACCAAAACAAAAACCTATCAGTTTTAGAGAGAGAAACTCCGACAAAGACAACATTAATGGTGTTCCATGGCCAAAAATCTTGACAACGAGCAAGAAAAGGAGGCACCCCTTCTAAATTCAATAGAAAATTCCCAAAACTTCACGAAGCTTCATTTTTGGGCGCCATTTTCAATCTCTCAACAAATGCAATCAATGTTGGAATCATGTTCATTCCTGCAATTCTAAAGGTCTAGGGTGTGAGTCCTGCAATTTTCTTGCAAATTTTCATTGTGATTATGGTGAATTTTACAAAGCAATTTATGTTGAAATTTATGAGTGCAGTATTTCTACTTGTGATGGATTAATGGGGAATCATTTAAAAAAATTAGGTCAATTCCTTTACAAAATTGTGTGATAATCAGTAATTTGGAAGCTGAGATGACCTATATGATCATCATAGGTACTTGGTTTTCGTAAATTTGCTGGTCAAATATAGGGAGTCTCTCTCTCTAGTTGTTGCCTCTCTCGTCCATTCTCTCTCTAAGAGTGAGTCCACAAGAACTTCAATTTCTTCTCAAACTTAACATACCCAAATGATTTTACAACTGACACCATTTGGATCTCTCTCATCATCATCTTTTGCTTACTATTTGTACAGCTCTTCCGATTTTTACATTTGGTATCATATTACTAGACAAGCTGTCACCATTTAGATCTCTCTCACACCATTTGGATCTCTCCCTCTCATATTCTGCTTACCATTTGCGCAACTCTATTTTTTTACAACAAGTCTCATATTGCCTCTCTAAAATCCATTCAGAATTTCAGCTCTCTCTAAAACCTAATCAGAATTTCAGCTCTCTTGTGATAGATCCACCACAAAAACCTTGCCTGAAGAGCTTGATGTAGGGGAAACCGGTATAAGCAGACACTCATGTAACCTTTATGGGTTAATCGGGTGACCTCGCATTCCATTCTCCTTGAGATGTGGACAAGAATCCTACGGCCATAAGTAGGAGTCTCATAGCAATTGGGGTAATGGAGGGTCTCACGTGATCATTACTCAAATGTAAAACAATGGTCTATCCAAAATGCTTTAAAAATTCATAATTCTATTGAAGATCTTTTGAAAAATTTGAAGCTCTTAAAAGATCACAAAAAATCAGTTTCTTTTTTTTTTTTTTTTTTTTGAAAATTATATATAAAATGGAGACCTGCTAGCTATGGTTTGGAAGACAAAACTCTGGTTTTAGGACAACAAATATGAAATTTAACCGGGCCAAGAGCCCAAAAGAACAAACGGATAGAATGAATTCCCTTTTGGGATGTGCATCATTTTGAGTAGGTACTTTGATTGCATTCCATCCACCCACAAAGATCTTGGGCGTCACGTCGGCATCAACCATCACCATCCCAAGGCAACATCTTTGTGTCTCTCGTTTTTTTTGCCCTACAATGTCCAACTTCTTTAAGAAAGGGATTAGGTCGTGGTGGTAGCACCCCACATCCTAGTCACCACGTTGTAGTTTATATTACCACTTTATATTACCACCACTTGAACCACGACTGATAATACCTTCAAAAACACCTAATCTACTTGAAAAAACTTGAAAAAATGATTAGGGGCTATCCTCCCCAATGAATTAAAATATATATATATATATATTCTCATCCTTCGGAACATTACAATACCTGCGTATCTGTCACTCTAATATACCCTGCCTCTTGTTCCAAAATATACTTCTCTTAGTTTATTTATAGTAGCCTACCGTGTACTCTGGCTCTCTCTCTCGCAACACAGTCTCTTACCAACATTCAAACACCATAGTAATATACAAAAGTGATAATTAAAACACATCCTACACGAACAAATGTCCACCTAATCTCTTTAAGAAAGGGATTAGGTCGTGGTGATAGCACCCCACATCCTAGTCATCACGTTGTAGTTTATATTACCACTTTATATTACCACCACTTGCACCACGACTGATAATGCCTTCAAGATGCTAACACCTAATCTACTTGAAAAAACTTGAAAAAATGATTAGGGGCTATCCTCCCCAATGAATTAAAAAAAATATATATATATTCTCATCCTTCGGAACATTACAATACCTGCATATCTCTCACTCTAATATACCCTGCCTCTTGTTCCAAAATATACTTCTCTCTTAGTTTATTTGTAGTAGCCTACCGTGTACTCTGGCTCTCTCTCTCTCGCAACAGTCTTTTACCAACATTCAAACACCATCGTAATATACAAATGTGATAATTAAAACACATCCTACACGAACAAATCTCCACCACATAAACCAGAAACGCACCGCTAAGCCACCCTTGCATCAGTGTCATCCAAGGCAATCTCCTTTAACCCCTCAAGCACAGCCAGCATAGTGGGCCGCCTGGTGGGGTCGTCATCAGTGCAGCGCCCCGCCAGGTGCAGCACCATTACCATCTGCCCTGCCCACTGCCCTGCTTCCACCACCCCCTCATCCAATGTCCCCTCCTCCAAACCCTTCCTCACCATCCCCCTCACCCACCCCACCAAATTCCCCCCCTCCCTCTCCTCCTGCCCTGTTGCTGGCCTGCCTGTCAGCAACTCCATTATCACCACTCCAAAGCTGTATACATCCCCCCTGGCGCTTGCCCTCATTGTCAACCCATATTCGGGAGGAATGTACCCAAACGTTCCTGCCAACTGTGTGCTCACGTGGCTGTCACATGCGCTCATCAGGCGCGCGAGCCCAAAGTCTGACACCCTAGCTTCAAGATTGGAGTCAAGCAGCACATTGCTTGACTTGATGTCGCGATGCACCACCCTTGGGGTAAACCCATGGTGGAGGAAGGCAAGCCCACGTGCAGCACCGATGCATATGCGCAGCCTTGCAGGCCAATCGAGGGCCTCCACTGCATCGGCACGGTTCCTAAGCCACAAGTCCAGGCTCCCGTTCTCCATATACTCATATACTAAAACTCTCTCATCACCTGATACACAGTAGCCTAAGAGAGGGACCAAGTTGCGGTGGCGCACCTTGCCGACAGTCTCCATCTCTGCGATGAACTCACGGTCACCCTGCACTTGTGCCCCATCAAGCCGCTTCACAGCAACGACATGGCCATCAGAGAGAGATCCTCGGTACACAGTGCCAAAACCACCGTCGCCAACTATTCGTGTCTTGCTGAAGTTATCAGTCGCAACCAATACATCAGCTAGCATCAGACGCATGAGAGGACGCTCGAACATGGCTGCATTGATGCTTGGAGCCTCCTCCCGAGCCTTCTTCACTGGAGGCCATGCAAGGCCAATGTTATCGACCTTGGGCAAGAGAGCAAGGGGGGCCTCATGTCGAATCATACGCCACTTGAGAATAGCAATAATGATGAAGAGGAAGAGGGTGGTGGAGCCGAGAGAGATGCCCCATATTGCTGGTCGACTTAACGATGGGTACATGCCCAGAGATTCGCCTCTTGCAATGGACCCCTTCACACAGCCCTCGTGGATATTGCCCTCAAAGTTATTGTTATTGCCTGAAAAATTGACATAGGGGATGCCCAGGTAGCTGCAAATATCTGGGGTGACTGTGAGCTCAAAATGGTTATCGGAGATGTCGAGGTAGGAGAGGGTGGCAAGGTTCGAGAGGTCGGAGGGGAGGGTGCCGCTAAGGTTATTTGAGTGGAGGTCGAGAACTGACATGGCTGTCAGGTTTGCCAAGCTCATAGGTAGCGGACCAGTGAGCTCATTGTGACTCACGTTCAGGACCTGCAATGAGCCACTACCAAGAATCCCACTTGACCAGATGGGTCCAGTTAGTTGGTTCATGCTAAGGTCCAAATGAGTCAGTTTCTTGAGATGGGAAATGGCTAAGGGGAAGGGACCATCTAGCTGGTTTGACGAGAGGTTAAGCTTCACAAGGCTTGAGACCGAGCCCAGTTGGTCAGGTACAGGACCTGATAACTGGTTATGTGAAAGAAAGAGGCCTTGAAGAGTCTTCGAGGTTGAGACATGAGGCGGGATGGGTCCAGAGAGAGAATTGAAGGAAAGGTCAAGCTGAGAAAGGTTGGGCAAGTCACCAAGGCCTTCAGGTAGGCTACCATTAAGCTTGTTTCCTTGCAAACATAAATTAACCACGACTATGCATTGCCGAATCTCTACAGGAATCCCACCAGAAAATTCATTCCAAGAGAGATCCAACACACCATAGTGCTGGCTATACTCAGAATCAGAAGGAGCAACCTGCTGAAAACCAGAGCAAATCTCACCAGGAATCGGGCCTGAAAGCTTGTTATAAGAGAGCACCAGATTGTCAAGAAGCCCAAGCTGAGATATCCTTCTTGGAATTGGGCCCGAGAGGCCATTTGAACCGAGGTCAAGGGCCACCAGATTGACACAGTCGAAGAGTTCAGGTGGGATTTCACCTGTTAGCTGGTTGCCATGAAGTGATAGAGTGGTGAGGTTCTTTAGCATCCCTATCTCTCTAGGGATCCCTCCTTCCAAAAAATTATTATCCAAAAGCAACTGTTCAATACTGGACAGATTAGCAATTGCAGCCGGAATCTGGCCCACAAGCTGATTATTGCTTAGTGCTATTTCAAGGAGCGTTTGAGAGGCCCAAAACTCACCAGGTATCTTTCCTGAAAAACCATTGTGAGAGAAGTCGAGAGTGACCAGAGGAAGCTCACCAAGGTAACTGGGGAGCACACCAGAAAGGTTGTTTCCTGCCAAATTCAGATCAGTAAGGTTATGGCAACCCCTGAAAGTGTTATCTATGCTGCCAATGAATCGATTCTCAGCAAAAGAAAGATGATTTAATCCTGTGACGTTGCATATCTCTGATGGAATCTCCCCTGAAAATTTGCAGGCATCACAGGAAAAGGTCACAAGGGACTGAAGGCTACCAATTAAAGGAGGCAAAGGGCCTTCAAAGAGGTTCTTCCCAAGCCTCAAAGCATTCACCACTTTCCAGTGTGAAATCCATGGAGGAATGGGACCTGTGAGATAGTTCCCTTCTACTATAAATGTTCTGATTGATTCAAGCTCTTTGAGACTATCAGGCAAGCTACCTGAAAAGGAATTGAAAGACAAATCGAGTGATTCGAGTTTCCTGCAATTTCCCAATTCCTCAGGTATATACCCACCCAGTCCTGCATTAGTAGCAAGCAGAAAAATCAGATTGCTCAGCTTGCCAAAGCTTGGAGGTAACTGTCCTTCGAATTGGTTCTCCGAAAGCTCCACTACCGTTAAACTCCTTAGATTTCCAAGCTCTGCCGGAATCTGACCCACAAGGCCACATTGTCGTAAATCAAGCACATTCAATTCCATCAAATTTCCAATTTCAGAGGGAATCTCACTATTAAAGTTGTTCATGCCAATCCAAAGGGACTGCAAACTCGTGAGCTGACCAATTTCAGGTGGAATTTTTCCAGTCAAAGAGTTGTCGGAAAAATCAACTGTAAGCAATCCAGTAAGTTTCCCAATTCCTGGAAAGATAGGACCAGTGAAGCTATTGTGGCTCAAGTCAAGGTGCAAAAGCCTCGAAAGGTTCGCCAAATTCAGCGGAATCTCACCAGAAAACAAATTACTGTTCAAATCAAGATAACCCAAGTTCTTCAAATTCCCAATCTCAGATGGCAAGTCTCCAGAAAAGGAATTTGAGGGCAATGAGAGCTTAGTAAGTTGGGCAAAATTGCCAATACCATGAGGAAGGGCCCCAAACATTCGGTTAAAGCCAAGGGAGAGCTCTCTGAGCATCTTCATATTTGAGACTGCAGGAGTTATTGACCCATTTAACTCATTAGAGCCAAGATCCAAGCTTTCCAGCTTCTCCAAACTCCATAGGGTTATGGGCATATCCCCAGTAAGTCCACAATTGCTCAAATTAAGGTACTTTAACGACTTGAAATCACCAATAACAGGAGGAATACTACCACCCAATTGCACAAAGGCTAGGTTTATGGAGAGAACTTCAAAGCCGATGCAACTTATACCAGTCCAGTTGCAGGGGGGCAAATCTCGTTCAAACCAATTAGGAACTGCAGCACCATTAAGATTGCTTCTAAGCTTAACCAGTGCCTGAACATCATTGCCCAAAACATGTTTTCCAGACAAAGATATCCAGAAAATGCAGAATACGAACAAAAGTGAGAGAAACTCTGGCAATCGAGGCATTTTGTCAAAGTGTTCACAAATGTAATCTTTTTGGTTTTTCAGTTACCTGAAACAAGAAAATTAATGGATTCATTGATGAGGGTTAGAAGGCTCAGAATAGTCAGAACGAACGTTTGCTCCTTAGTTTCAGAGTAGAAGAAGAATTAAGACAGTGTACAGGGGTATGGACATGGCGAATTGGAATTTGGTGACCGTTTTCCTGGAACTCTCGATTGAGTCAGAGTCAACAAACTGGGTTTCATTTGTCAAAAAAGAAAAAAACGCATGAAGCAACAGTGAGTACTAATATTCGCAAAAAAGCAAAAAAAGCAATGGGAACATTTTAATGAAGAATAACGACTGTGATATTCTGAAATGAAACAAAAAGAAATAAATTTCGCATCATTGGCTTCTAAGTAGATTCTTTTATGATAAATGGGTACTAAAAAGATTTTAGGAAGTGCTTTGAACCTTGAGCAAAAATAGCAGGAGAGAAGATTAGGGATTGTGGAAATTTTCAGACTAGGTTTTATTCATGAAGAAAATGTTCTTGAAATCAAGCAATTCACATTTGGGAATTCATCATACAAGATTGGAGCTATACAAACTTCACAAAAATGTTACTAAGGGTCTGTACTTGTATGCATACGCACCCTTAGAGTAGGGTAGTCTTGAACCATTTATTTGTAATTTTGTATGCACACGCACTACACCCCTAGCTAGGTTCTCCTTGAACCATGAATTTTTACATAAGTTTTACCCATTTTGGAGCCTATAAAGCAGCAAGGCTTTTCACATCATTCTCAGTTTTGTCGGACAGTTCTTCTTGTCTCTTCTTTTCTCACATTTTTCAGTCTCATTTTTAAATTTTAGGTTTGGCTGTGTGGAAAAGATAATCGCGGAACTTTAATTTTATTTTATTTTATTTTATTTTCAGAATCATACACACCCTGCCATTAGAATAGTATATCTCTTCTACGGTAAACTAAACAAAAAATTCACTTCTCACAAATGCAAACTTCTATAGAAAAGAGTACATTTCTCAAGCTTCATGAATGTACTCTCTCTACTCTGAAAGCTCTATCAATAAGTTTCTTTTTTTTTTTTTGAAGTTGTCAACTGTTTATATCAATAAGTTTTTAAAACTTAAAACATATCCATATACATGCCTAGGTAATAATGATGTGGGAAGCTGTTCTCATATCTCGTCACATAAGCAGTGTCAGAGAGAGTTTTCAGGATAATGATGGGCAAATGGCACTTATATGGTAATTCCATAAGGCTACCTAATTAATGCCATCGTTCCTGCAGCATAAGTATCCAAGTTCTAATGAATAACCAAACCAACCCTTCCCTGAAAAACCGGTGAAAATATCATTCTTTGGATATTATTGGTTTTATTGGGATATTATCGCAATTGACGCTTTATTCCGGCATTCACCATCGGTACATTAACATGTCAAATTAAAGACATTAGTATGAAGAATTTTATTGAGATTTATAAACATGAATTCAATTATAAATATGTTTTTAAAGTTAAAAAATGACAAAAGTTGACAATAATCTAAAATGTATATAAAATTAAAATATCAAAACTCATTACCCAACTTAAAGGCCTTAGATTGCATACCCATTATAAATTCTTTGCAAATTGCACCTCATTAGCCTTATAGACATTTTTTTATCTATTTTTAGGTAAATGAAATATTTTTCTTTTCAAATTCAAATTGCTATTTTGCTTTAAGATTGCATATATTATCGCGAATTTTTTATCGTAATAACAATGAGATGCCATTCAATATAGTCATCGATTCATTTTGCCAAGATATTGTCAAATATATTATCAACATTAGATTTATCAGGATAAAATAAAAATAAATTCTAATTTATCAAAGTCAATTCTCATTATGCTAGAAATAAAATATGCAATAAAAGATAAGGGTATTCTATAAACTAAGTCAAAACACAATAAATAAGTTATCACATTATTGGAAAACTAATTACAAGACTCAAAAGTTCTTGTATTCAATGAAACTAAATAAGCATTGATCTTTAATTGTTGAGGGGGCTAGATTAAATTCAAAATTAAAAAAAAAAAATACAATAAAAAGTTGCATAAATGGCAAATAATTCAATTGCACCGTGTGGAGTTTGTATAGAGCCGAGGCTCTAAACAATCAAATTAGAGCCCACCTTCAAATAGTATCGAGAAATATGATTTCAATACTGGAAACTTTTGTGATAGCCTTCAATTATATTTTCATCTTTAGTTATAAAATTTAAAGCTTCAAAAAGAGTGTAAATCGAGCAAATCTATGAAAACTTGAAAATTGACCGTTAAAAAATGTGTTATAAGATGCACTATTTTCAAAACTTGAAATCCATTTTTTTCCTCAAGATGATCAATTTGATGATATTTAAATATAAAAAACAACCACATCTAGTGAAAGTTTTGAGGTAGGCTCTCATTTGATTGTTTGGAGCCTAGGCTCTATATAAACTTTTCCCTTAATTATAAATGCACAACCATTTACCTCTATTCTTTCAGAGCTAGCTGTACGGGTGCGGCAAAGGTTTCTGACACGAGTAATTATTCCGAAGCTTTAGGTTACAGTTGGATCTTAGAGTTAGAAGCATACTATCAAGAAAAAGCAAACAATAAATGAAGCGCACGTACACCAGTTGGAGTTAGAGCATTACGGAAGTGCTTAAAATTGACATAACGCAAATATGTAAATCATAAAAATTTAACAGTATTAATAAAACAAAGCATAAGTATAAAACAAGCAAGAGAAATAGAAATTTATTTAATTACGCACAAGAGATGAACAATTTGCCATTTTAGTCATATATTTTGATTTAATTTCAAAATACTTGCCCATTTTTTTACGGGTATTTCGATAAATTTCCCATAAAACGACAATACTATTCCTAAGAAAAATAAAAGAAATTCCTAAAATAACCATAAAAGATACAGATTTTGCAGCAAAAATTAAAGAGAACACAATAACAAAACATGAAATAAAGGGGAATTTATCGTGTGACCTTGATTGATTAGGTTTGAAGTTTTCTCATAAGCCCAGAAAAATTTTAAAATAACTGGCATACTCACATTTGTGTATTTCCGGCCTCCATAAACTTCATGCACCATACACATATGGTGTATGGTGTATCATAAGTACTTATTCAGTTAGTCATTCTTTTTTTCACTTCTTGGGATAGAGGATAAGCAGAAAGCAAAACAGTTGAAAGAGGAATAACTTTTTTCCCTCACATCTGTACTACTCATAAGTTTCATACTTTCCACTTTCCGCTCTTCATCTGAGGCAAAATCATGCATTCGTTTGAAAAATTCCAGCTTTGTTTCTATTCGATCCTATATGCATTTGCTCATTTTCTCTCTCTAAACCGCAAAAACACAAATCTCCAATCCACATACACCAGTAGTGCATAAAACATGTACGTTATATATTCAAAATGATAAATTCCATACTAGTAATGATACACACGCAACGTAGTACACACATACCTCGTATATAACCAGCCGAAAACCCAGTAAATGCTCAGAGTCTCAACTCTTGAAGTCCCCTTCCTTCGATCGCTCTTCTTCACCCAGCTGTACCCAGCACTTTCTCTCTCTGCATAAATATGTTCCCCACCACAGTACTAAATATCTCTCTCTCTTCACTCCCTCTCTCATTCTCTCTCTTTTGAAACATTAAAACCTCCTCTAAAACCCACAAACAAATTTTCCCTCAGAACCTGCAAATTAAGACAGCAAACAAAGAAAGATATCAGAGAACGCAGTGACAACTGCAGTTTTAAGCAGAAGAGAAAAGCTTTTAAAAAAATGTAGAGAGAGAAACTGGGGTTGCTTTAATAGGCAGTTGGCTCGATAAAGATAGAGGAAACGGCGGGAGTGCCTGAGACTTGAAGCCTAAAAAGAAAATGATGCCCCCTACTCCAAAGGACGGTAGTGGCGCACTTAGAGTGACAAAAGGAGGCTTGCGCCGTTTGCCTTCCAACGAATTCCACGCTTTCATTTAAATAAACCCCAAATTAAGGGAATCTAGCCCACATTCCCTTATTTTAAAAAACCAGGGTCCACATTTACATTCCAGTGTTAAAAATAATTTATTCAGATTGAAAAAAGTAGAAATATGGATGGACAGAGAGAGAAAGATGCCCAAAGATTGAAATTTTGAACCAGCAGATTATATTAAATCAAGAAGAATGTTGATTTCTCTCTTCTTTCCTTGAAGAATGAGCAGAGAGAGAGAGAGAGAGAGATCAAATGATTAGAAAACAGCATCAATAAAGAAATAGGCAGAAAATATTATTAGTTGAAAGTTAACATGATCGAACTGAAATTCTTAAGTTTTCATCCATTTCCACTTTGAAGAGGAGCATTATAAACAGTTACAGTTCGTGGTCCTTACTGTTTGATAAATAATCGGATTCAAGCCTATAACGACGAAAATACTGTGGTGCCATGGAGTAGATACGAGAACAGGAGAAAGAAGAGTGAAATCTCCGTTTCAATACAATCACAGCATCTACGGAAAGAGCCTTGGTAAGGTTTCATAGTTTAAAAGAGAGAAGTCCAATGCTTTAGGGCTTTGATCAAACGGGAGCGTTAAAAAATGGAAGCCATTAGATGAACGTAAATTACAGCTCAAGTGTCAGGCAAATTCCAAGACACTCAAACTTCTAACTTCTGTTTTTTTTTCTTTTTTTTTTCCCTTAGGAAACCTAATCCTCTCATTGGAAATAAGCACTCACAGACGCCATTTCTTTTCCTTTTTCTTTTTTATTTTTGAACAAAGAGGCCATTCCTTCTGAAATTCAAGAAAAGCAGGAAAAATAGAACACTCAAAAGGCACCTGTAATGTCTCATCATTCTCTCGATTCATAGAAGCTTCAAACGGAAAAAGAACAAGGAAACAGAAACAAGAGACAGAAACCATCATTCGTTTCTCCCTCCATTCTCTCCCTCAGAAAAGGCACTCGAGCTATAACGCCAAGTATCAAAAATTAGTTCTTTCAAAAGTACGCATTCTCCCAATTTATCATCAGAAGAACATAGAAGAGATGATAAGAAACAGACACAGTACGCAGAGCTTTCAAAGAGACGAAATCCATAATTTTCGTGAAACTCCACAAAGTTAAAGGACTAAAACACACCAGCAAACAGGAGTCTTGAACTTCACAGACAGCAAACCCTAGACTATTCGCCCCTTCAAGGTCAAAGAAGAAGCCCATACTAAACGAGAAAAGGCGGAGAAGAAGAAGTAGTGTTCTGAGGTTTTCGTTACCTTTCCGCCATTAAAACAAACCCGAAAAGGAGGAGAAGAAGAAGTGTTTTGAGGTTTTGGTTACCTTTCCGCCATTAAAACTGCTTCTTCAAGCTCTGCAAAAAAAGACCTGAGAGAATCATGGACACAGCTGTACGAAGAAGCTCAGAGGCATGAAATGCATGAGCTTCCAGAGGCAATGACTATTTCATCCATTGCCATATGCCAGTTAAACGACAAACAATGCCCCAGGTTAGTTACAATACATTCTCTCTCTACTCTCACTCTTCTTTCTCTCTCTTCTCTCTCTCTCTCTCTGGTTTGATTCTTTCTCTCTCTCTCTCTCCGCCCTTTCTGATTACACGCACACAGTCTCCATCTCTCTCTTTGGTCCGTCCACTCCTACTAAATTACAACCTTTATAACGCGAATATCGGACGGTGCAAGTTCCTCTGACGTACCCACGTGTCGCTTAGGCGGTTTGAATGAGATTGGAAATGACTAAAATGACCCTAATTGCTAAGGATATGACGGAAATGATCCTCTTGATTTTTGGATTTGAGGCTCAATTTTATGGAGCGAAGGTCCCTTCCTTTTTCTAATATGATGAGATTGGTCCTTTGTCTCCAACTGTTGCTTTTCGAAGCAAATGAGTTGAAGAACCTTATATGCACTTTTTGAACACCTTGAGAGTAGGCGGTGGCAACGGGTATGGTCCGGCTGGATCCGGATTTGAATAGTAGTCAGGTTCAATGCTTGAACCTAACGGATCTTGGGTTTTGGGTCTAGTCGGATCCATTGCCACTTTATGATTATGAAGGTTTTTTTGTTTTTTTTTGTTTTTTTTAATATAAAAAAGTATATAATAATATCATTTACCACTATACAAAGTGGTGTGAAATTGGGTTGCTGCATTTATTTTATTGACCAAACTGAAAGTTCAAAAAAAAAAAATTTCGAATTTTGACACACCCAAGCTATCAGATTTTACATCAGATAGTTGTAAATAATTGTGATTTTACTGTAACAAAGGTATATATGGTCTCATTGTATACAACTCTTTTTTTTTTACCATCACATAACCTATGATTACAAGTTTTTTTTCTTTTCTTTTTTTTCTTTTTTTTTTCTTTTACAATAATACTATAAATTTTATCAATATTGTGACAATATAAACACCTACCACACCGTTAAAAAATACTTGATTGCCATCATATACCATATGATTGAAGATATGGGTCCGGTATGAATCGGGTCTAATTGAACTTTAACTTGGACTCGAACAATTTCGGATCCAAAAATTTAACCCATACCCAAATTGAAGTCAGGTTTACCCGTCGAATCCCAAATCTTGTTGGGTCCATTGTCACGCCTACGTAAAGAGATGAAGCACTTACTTTGCCAGAGACAGGTTGTGAGAGATAAAAGAAACTACCTTTGTATGACTCCAAAGTGCGAGAACGTAGAGAGAGAACAGAGATTGCACGTCTCATCCGCTTTTTTTGTTTTGTTCTGGCATCATCATCATATCCAAGACTTGTCCCAATAGGTCATTCCATTCATGATGATATTCTAAGTACTGGATATAAATGAAGATTGGAACCCATTCTTTAAGGGGGAAAAACAAGGAAAAGTTGAAGTACCTATTGCTCTTCAATTTACTTCCACTTTTCACTTATTTAAACTGATGTTCGCGAGATGTAGAGTTAATGTTAGGGGGCCGTTCTGTCATTTTGATAAAAAATAGGCTTACAAGAAAGAAAATATTTGCATGGCACTTGGGGGCTAGAGAAATAAATAACGCACCTGCGGTTTCGAGCTCTCTGCCCTAGACTACTGCCACTAGCTGCACGTCAAAACACCAATCAAATTCTCTCTCAAATGTAAAAACACGTCTCTCTCCTCTCTTTCTCTCTCCTCTCTATCAATTTTCCTCTCTCTCCTCTTTTTTTTTAATGAATTTTTTCACTTTAAAAACTCAAAACGTATTTGTATTTGGTCTCTTCCTGCTCTTCTCTTATCGTTTTTCTCTCTCCTCTCTCTATGATGTATAGTGTACGAGTTTTATTGCCGGAATATTCGGGAACCACAACATAATAAATTAAAAAAGAATAAAATAGTGAAGCTGTGAAAGCGACTTGGCGATACGTCAAAGATAGCAATTATGGTACGAGAAGGAGCCCTACCCCTTAAAAATAAATAAAAATAAAAATAAAAAATAAAAAAAAATAAAAAAACTAGGAAGGTGTTGCTTTTACAGTTCTTCACCGTAATTCGAAATTATGGGGATGCAAATTGTAATTTAGCACTCAAACAATCTGCTAAAACTCCCATGACAATAACGGACGGTTTAAATATAACTTGCCGTTGTTCAAAACACAAATGTAATCGCATTGTAGTTGTACGGAACCCCCTTCCGCAGCAAAAAATGATACTTTGGCTAATTAATATTTATATATATTAATGTTGTAAAAACAACTTATTTAGTATAGGTTAGAGAAAGATGTTGAGATGAATGGGTGACAAAACAAAAAAGAAAAAAAAAAAATAGAATTTGAAATGAACATATATAAAAGAATTTATGTGGGCCAAGCTTTCTATACTTTCCCAACTATATAAAATTTATATACTTCTCCCCATGCAACCATCTATTTTGAATGGACGGTTGAACTGGCCTTAATCATAATGTTATCTCTCTACACTATTTTATTTTTATTTTTTTTTTTATAAATTATTTTGACACCAAATTTTGTGTCCACTCCTCTCTTAAACTCGCACTAGTAAAAAAAATATTCTCAATAAAATAAAGAGATCAAAATACCCTTGAAAGTTTCAAAGGGTATTTTGATCATTTTATTTTATCGAAAAATTCTTTTCAATATTTTATTTAGGTGCACCTATTGAGAATATGGCATATACCAAATTTCATTTATATAGAATTTGTAGAAAAAAAAACTAAAAATAAAACAATTTGAGGTGTAGGCTCTAGATCAAATGGTCAGTGGCTCACTGGATCTAAATTGGGCAGTTGGATGGAGGGAGAAGTAAATATCTTCTATGTTATAGGAGAAGTATATAAACCTTTGCCATTTAGGTGTGGTTTCGATGGGCAACAAGATGAGGGAAAGTAAACTTTAGATGAAGGGGTCAAGTGCAACATAAATTAACTTTAGGTGAATTAGTCACATGCAACATAGATCTAATATAGTACTTGTTAGAAAGTGCGATTTGGTTTAAGTGGAAGACTATAAAAGAGAAAGGGGAAGAGCCAAAAGTACATGAATAAAGACAATGAGAAAAAACATGATAAGTTTTTAGTCTTACCAAAAGAATGGTCATTGATATAGAAGAATGAAAGAACAAAATTCATATAGCCGATTCTAAATTATTGTGATAAAGATTGGGTTATGATGATAATGACTATGCTCCCACATCACCTTATTATATATTTGCTCACACACATGATTATTTTAAAAGATAAAAACTGGATTTTGATTTCTCCATAACTTAGTGTCAATGTTAATCTTTTGAGATTTGTAGCAAGGTTGAATACCCTACAATCCCAAAATCTAACAAATACTTCCTAATTGGGTTGTGTGGAGTAAATATACCACGTGCCCTTAGAGAAGTATAGAGTTTATTCAAATCCATCCCAAGTCAACTTCGCCCTCGTGGGGTACCAAGCTGATTCTCCCCTGTACTCAGCAACGACCGGGTTTTAAGTCCGCTTTTGAGTTTTTCTTTTTTTTTTTTATGGGTTCAAACGATCCATTGCTATTCAACCTCCGTATCAATCATTAAACACATAAACTTTGATTCAAAACTAGTTTCTTTAGTAAATTTGATATTTTAATGGAGTTTTCTCGTCAAAGTTCTTCAACCCTAAAACTCAAATCGTCCATTCCTCTAATTTATCTTTCAATTCTTAATGAAAGAGCGTTTTCTTTTTTGGGGTAATTCAATGGGGAAGACAGCCCCTGACCATTTTTTCATATAGATTAAGAACTTAGCTATTTGAAAGTGTCAATAGGTGGTGTTAGACGGTTTGAAAACCGTTACTAAGTATGGGGGTGCTACCACCACGGCCCAGCCGCTTTTCTTAATGAACTTGAACCTCCTTTATCAATTGGTTGGATTGAAAAGGAAAATAAGAAAAATTGAATTTTCAAATTTCAAGGGCTTTTTTAAAACCAAAATTGAAAATCTTGAATCTCTCTTTCATTGTTTCACCAAACTCATTCAATTTTGGGCTGAAATGTGCTACAAAAGCCCTAACACGTTTTCTAATTCAAAACGAAAAATCTCAAATTTCAACGAAAAATCTAAAAATTCAAGTTTTGGCCTCGATTTCCACCATTTCTTTTCAAATAATGCTTTTTTAATTTTTTTAATGTGCACCTCCTATAATCAATTATTTATTTATTTCTTTTGAGTAATTGAATTTATGCATATTTTGCTATTTTTCACTTTTTTCTCGATTTCTTTTCTTAACATTGGCTGTCACAGCCCGGCAAACTCGGATCTGAAGCCAAACAATTCAGGTTGCCAAGCCAGGTTTATTGAATACTGGCTACCATGTTTTTGTTTTTCCTTTTTTTTTTTTGGCCTTTATCAACAATGCTAATTGTCGATATTTTTGTTTAGAGACAAGTAATCACAATGTTCACCGTCAAAGTTGAATACAAAGTACCCCAAGAGACAAAACTATATTCATAAAAAAAAAAAAAACAATAAAATAAAATAACAATAATGAAAATAAATTATTTTGTTAAGGCCGCAATCCTAAATAAGTTAAACCTCACCTTGAAACTTAGAGGAAATTGCAGTTCTGATATAAAAAAACCTCCAAATTGATCATCTCAATCTTGAACATTATAGTTGTAAACAAAAATTTAATTAAAATTCAAATCCTTAAAATAATGTATATTATAAGACATTATCTAGATTGTCAAGTACCATGAGAGACCAAACAATAGTAAAAAAAAAAAATGTTTTGATAGGCTGGACTCACCTGAAAAACTCATAAAAAATTGCATATTATAACACATTATAATATGTATATTATAACACATTATCTCGACCGTCAAGTACCCCGACAGACCAAAGTATAGTAATATATATATATATTAATTGATAGAGCTACAGTCCTAAATAAATAAAACCTCACCTTAAAACTCGTAAAAAAAAAATTACAGTTCTAACCTGAGAAAAACCTTTCAATGATCATCTCAACCTTGGCCATGGTTGTCAAAAAAAATTTAAAATCCTAAAAATAATATATAACATATTATCTAAACTGATGTTAGAGAGATAATATAAATTTTCCATTCCCAAAGCATGCTCTAGTTTGTTTTTTTCCACAAGGCTCACAC